TGAGTCTGAGTGAAAGCTGCACAGCTCGGGCCCCGGGAAATGCATGTACTGTGGGGCCCGGGGGTTGGGGGCGGGGAGCGTTGATGCATGCATGGGCCGGGCGGGGGCAGGGGAGGGGGTCCAGGGGAAATGCACGCACGGAGGCCCGAAACCGTGGCAGCCCAGACCCGGAGACCACGCGCTGTATGTGGTCGTGCCCAGCTGGGTTTTCTCCCGCCTCCACCTGCTCTTCAGCGGGAAGCTAACTGTGAATCTTTTGAAACCTAGTGCTGCTCGGCTCTCTAAGGAAAACAAAACAAGAGCCCATGTAACTCCTCTGTGATGTGCCCCCACTGAGCAGACTTCCGGATGGACGGTGGGGAGGGGGCGTAGGAGCTGGGCCCCGGCTCCTTGGGGGGGGTGTCCCTGGCGGCTGCTCCAGGGGGCACTGCGCCTCCTGCTGGCACTTGCCAAAGGGCAGCTGGCCCGGCCTGGCGTGGGTGCCTGTGGTTTGGGGTCCCTCAGTGCTCCAGGCGGACCCCCTCGCTCAGCCCCAGCCACAGAGCCCTGGGGTCACCTCACCCCACAGCAGGCCTCGCTCCATAGGAGCCAAGGGCGTCTTGCTGTTCGCTTTTTATCTATTTATTTTTTCACAGCATCTGGCCTCTTTGTCCTTGGCATGGCTCTGCTATGTGACCCCCCCTTTCCCAGTCAGACCCCAAAAAGAGGAAACAGAGGTGCACTCCTGGCCACTTCATCTCCCCTCTCCCATTCTTCCTCTTCCCACCGACTCTGAAGCCAGAAAAGAAACCCGTTTTCTCCTGTTCTTTCTTCCCGACTCCTGCTAAGCCTTGGGCGAGGTGGGCGGCCGTCTCCTTTCCGCCGGAGGAGGCTGTGAGCGAAACCTCCCGGTGCCGCCATCGATACGCTAAGGCAGGAGGAAAGAATGTGGCAGGTCTCTGCTCACGCCAATAAGTGATGGCAGGAGCGGGCGGTTAATTTCTCAGCTTGTCTTTGCCTTTTTAACA